ACAATGGAGCTTCGGTGAGTGTTTTAACTTTAACTTTATGCCATCAGTGTGGTTTGTGTCTGTAAGGTTCAGTAATAGACAGCTAACATTTGTACATTAACAGACTGCATAGGACATGAACTACGCATTTTCTTCTAGTTTTGAATTAAGTTAATGATGCTGGGATGCTTCGACGAGCTATTAGGAGTGATCGGCGGAGTTTTGAAACCAGGAACGCGCCTGTAGAGCGCATAGGAGCCGCTGCAGCGTAGTTGGGGGGGCAGCGGCTTTAGCGGAGCGTGTGCAGACGCATAACCCCGACAGTACATGCAGGTTATGCTGTTTACATGCACGACCATATCATGTCTAACTCTATTATATGCCATCGGTGTGGTTTGTGTCTGTAAGATTCATTAATAGACAGCTGACATTTGTACATTGAACGTGAAATAAGCGGAAGTTAAACGAGATGCCGTTCGGTTGTTGTTGTTGTTTTTTCAAGCTCTCAGTACGATGTCATACATTATATAGTATCATAAAAACCCCACCAAAAACACGAACATATTAGACATATACACGTTATAATGTGACAACGGTTTATTGTCCCATACGACCTTACAGTTGTGAAGCAGAGATTGTGATCTGTCACTGAATTTTAATAAAGTTCTTAAAGTAAAGACAGTTGAGTAGAAGTTATGATACTAGTTTGACTTTACAAAAAGCAGTTTTGAATAAGCACAAATGAATGAGGTTTCGGATTTAACGAGTAATGTGTTAACTAGTCACTCAGCATGGTCGTGGTAACCTTAAAGTTACTTCCAGCTAATGGAAAAATGAACAGAACAGTCTTCAGTTGGACTTAAATGAATGCGGATTTCAGCTGTAGAAGTATGTAAGTTAGTAATCATTACTATAGATTATATACTGGTCTTACAGTAATGATTTTGTTTATCTATTGGTAGTTTACATGACAGAAATTTTTTTCTCTTTCCTAGGAACTGCTGCTTAATCATCTATTCAATTCAATTCATTTTATTTTGTATAGCCCATAATCGCAACTTACAATTTTGCCTCAGAGGGCTTTACAGTCTGTACACATACAACATCCTCTGCCCCGAAACCCACCATCGGCACAGGAAAAACTCCCCAAAAAATGAAAAAACCCTTACAGGAGGGAAAAAAGGGAAGAAACCTTAGGGAGAACGTCAGAGGAGGGATCCCACTCCCGGGATGGACAGACTACAATGGATGCCATGTGTACAGAATGAACAATGTATAATACATGCAACTCCTATGACAGAAATGATTCAAGTAATTGTGAGTAGTAAGCCAGGCGCACAGCAGAACCACTGCAGGGGCAACCACCATCAGCTAGAACCACCATCCACAGAAGCCTGTGGGGAGGGAGAGCACAGAGACTTTAGGAGAGGGTAATGTCGGTTTATGAGTACAGTAATATGATTAATATCTAAAATAATGATGATGATGATGATGGCAGCAGCAGGCGTCAGCATGGCCACGGTAGGTGTCAGGACCAGGGTCCCGAAGGAACCACAATCTACGGAGACCTGATAGGGGAGAAAGCACAAAAAAAACTCCCGGAAAGAAGCTGAATTAGTCATGTGCATTAATAAAACTTGAATTATGGTAGAACGAGAGCGCGAGAGGAGCTCGGTGTGTCCTAAGAATTCCCCCGGCATTCTAAGCCTATAGCAGCTTAACTAAGGGCTGGTCCGGACTAACCTGAGCCAGCTCTAACTATAGGCAGAATCAAAGAGGAACGTTTTAAGTTTTACTTTAAAAGAGTTTATTTGAAGAGCTGACCGAATCTGCCCCCCGGACTGAAAGTGGAACCTGGTTCCACAAAAGAGGAGCTTGATAACTGAAGGCTCTGGCCCCCAGCCTACTTTTTAAAACCATAGGAACAACGAGTAACCCAGCATCTATGGAGCGCAGTTGCCTTGTAGGGCAATACGGTGTTACAAGCTCTTGAAGATACAACGGTGCCTCACCAGCAAGTGCCTTGTAGGTGAGGAGAAGTACCTTAAAATCTATTCTTGATTTAACAGGGAGCCAGTGCAGAGAAGTTAATACAGGAGTGATATGATCCCTTTTCTTAGTTCTTGTTAATACACGTGCTGCAGAATTCTGAATCAACTGGAGAGGCTTAAGAGATTTACAAGAGCAGCCTGATAACAAAAAATTACAGTAATCTAGTCTGGAAGTGACAAACGCATGAACTAATTTTTCTGCATCACTTTGAGACAGGAAGTTCCTTATTTCTGATTTTTTGTTACGTAGATGAAAATAGGCAGTCCTTGAAGTCTTCTTTATATGCGAGTTGAAGGTCATATCCTGGTCGAAGAGAACTCCCAGATTCCTGACGGTGCTGCTGGGTACCAGAGCAATTCCATTCATAAAAACTGTTATCACGTGACAGCTGGCTTCCAAGGCGCTCTGGGCCTATCAGGATAACTTCCGTTTTTTCTGAGTTTAGCATCAGGAAGTTGCCGGTCATCCAAGTTTTGATGTCTCCAAGACATTCTTGAAGTCTAACTAACTGGTCCGTCTCTTCCGGCTTGATCGACAGATACAGTTGAGCATCGTCTGCATAACAATGGAAGTTTATGCGGTGTTTCCTGATAAGATCGCCCAAATGAAAGCATATAGAGGGTAAATAAAATCGGTCCAAGTACAGAACCTTGTGGGACTCCGTGACCAACATTGGTGGTCTTTGAGGATTCACCGTTTACAAGCACAAACTGGGATCGGTCCGATAAGTAGGATTTAAACCAGCTGAGTGCAGTTCCTTTGATACCAATTAAATGTTCTAGTCTCTGCAACAGGATATAATGGTCTATGGTATCCAATGCGGCACTGAGGTCCAGCAAGACCAGAAAAGAGATGAGTCCTTGGTCCGATGCAAGTAGAAGATAATTCGTAATTTTCACCAGTGCTGTTTCTGTACTGTGATGCACTCGAAATCCTGACTGGAAATCCTCGAACAAAGCATTGTTTTGTAGAAAGTCACATAATTGATTTGCGACGGATTTCTCAAGGATCTTAGAGAGGAAGGGAAGATTAGAGATAGGTCTGTAGTTAGCCAACACCTAAGGTTTAATTACAGCTACCTTGAAGGACTGTGGTACATGTCCTGTCAACAAAGACAGATTCATAATATCTAATAAGGATGTGCTAACTAAAGAAAAAACTTACTTAAGCAGCTTGGTCGGAATCGGATCCAAGAGACAAGTAGATTTAGACTTTGAAAATAAAGAAGTCAGTTGATCAAGGTTGATGGAAGAGAAGGCATCCAATCAGGCATCAGGGCCCACTGCTGCATCCAAGGTTCCTACATCGGAGGACAGGTCGGCACTGGTTGAGGGCAGGAGACCATCAATTTTCTCTTTGATAGTCAGAATCTTATCATTGAAGAAGTTCATGAAGTCGTTACTACGGTGGTCAAAATGAATACACGGCTCGACAGAGCGGTGACTGTCAGTCTGGCTACAGTGCTGAAGAGAAACCTGGAGTTGTTTTTATTTTTCTCTGTTCATGATGAGTAATAAGATGCTCTTGCGTTATGGAGCGCCTTCTTATACGTTTTAAGGCTGTCTTGCCAAACTAGCCTAGATCCTTCTGATTTGGTGGAACGCCATAATCGTTCAAGTTTCCGTACAGTTTGCTTTAGGTTCCGTGTTTGAGGGTTATACCACGGAGCAGACTTCCTTCTTGTTGCTATTCTTCTTTCCAGAGGAGCAATAGCATCCAGCGCCACTCTCAAAGAGCCTGTAGCAGTATCGACAAAATTATCGATCTGGGACGGACTGAGGTTCTCACAGGAGTCTTCTTGTATCTTGAGGCAGGGCACTGAACTTAGAGCAGAAGGAATGGCTTCTTTGAATGAGGCTCCAGCGGTATCCGATAACTGTCGACTGTAGAAACCCTTGGCAGGAGGAGGTGGTTCTGATAGTAGAAATTCAAAGGTTATCAGACAATGGTCCGACAGAAGAGGGTTCTGTGGAAAAATTGTTAAATGTTCAATCCCAATCCCATACACAAGCACCAAGTTGAGAGTGTGGTTAAAACAGTGAGTTGGTTTATTTACACACTGACAGAAACCAATTGAATCTAACAATGAAAGGAATGCAGTACTAAGGCTGTCGTTGTCGACATCCACATGAATGTTAAAGTCACCCACAATAATTACCTCGTCCGTTTTAAGGACCAAACTCGTTAAGAACTGTTAGAAAGACTTCGCTCTCGATTAGAAAATATTTTGGGACGCATGCCTCCTAGATCTGGACTTCTTAGAGTTCACTTGCACACAAGAATTTGTGTTTTTAAATGCTGTATCCTCTCAGGTAGCTGTTTGTCCAGCAATTTTAGATGCACTTACTCAGTTGCACAGTCTTATAAACATAGAAAAAGAAAAAAGTAAGCAACATATTGCCGTTATGCAGTTTCAAGGAAGGACCAGCTGGGCGACAACGAATGGCCATATCCCCAGACTACCTATGCAACCTTCTTGAACTTAATCTGTCTGCCCCCTGTATCGCTAAACTCATGGGGATTTCCAGAAGCACAGTGTACCGGCGCATGGCTGAGTATAATCTCTCAATAAAGGCACAGCACCATGACAGAAGAGTTAGACCAGTGTGTGAGAGAGATTAAATCCAGACAGCCTTATTCTGGATACCGAATGGTGAAAGCACTTCTGCAAGCCAGAGGACTACGGTTGCAGTATAACCGTGTCAGAGCTTCCATGCATCTCCCATATGCTCCATTTAGGATGCATTGCTCGACGGACCTACTCAGTTCCAGGACCCCAGTCTTTAATTCATATTGATACAAACCATAAATTGATACGGTAATTCTTTTCAAATAATGTTTTTGAGGAATTGCAAATTAATTAAGAGTATGTTAGCCCTTAAGCAAAGTTATTCTGTTCTGAGCGTTAACACTATTTATTACTTATAGTACGTTCTATACAGTCGACAAATTCAGCATTTTTCTTGCAGCTACAACATTGTTATCTTTGGTGGGATTGACGGTTTTTCCCGCAAGGTAAGCACTGTTGTCAGGACAAAGTGTACACATTTTTATAATCATTAAATAGTTAAGCGTCTCATAGTGATGTAATTGCATTTGTGCTGCAGATAATGTATCTTGGTGCCGCTTCCAACAACTTAGCATCAACTACCCTGGCTTTCTTCCAAGAATCTGTTTAGAAGTTTGGGTTTCCTCTCAGGTAAATTAATTTTTTTAACTAGGATTTGTTTTTTACCGAACAAAATTTTAAAGTACTTGTGCCATGATTTTCCCTCTCCTCACCACCTTCTATTGTGCCCTATGAGCGGTTTATAGGCCGACACGTTTTAATCTATTTAAATGAAGTTATGGAAGTATAGTAAGATACTGTATTATGAAAACATAATTTCAAAAGTTTTGAAGATTCATTGGTAAGAATGTATGTGAACCTTGAATAAAAGTTCAGTAAGAGAGACCAAACCACTACTTTTACTGCAATACTTTAACTATATATAGATTAGACTACTTATAGTAGGATTTTCATGCTGGACTTATACTTTAATGCAGTACTTTTGCATTGCTGTTTTTTACTTGAGGATCTGAATACATATTCAACCACTGAGTGCAACACAGTGACCCAGACAACAAACTTTAAAGTCATTTTTTTCAGTTTTACACAGATGCTTCAAACCACAATGGATGTTGTTAAAGCTTTGATGTGAGCACTGATTTAGAGAGGAAACCCTTAATGGCTGGGCTTCATTAGCCACTAAAGACTGAGTCAGCAAGAGAAAGAGAATTACCTCTGCAACCGTACCTCCACAAATCAAAGAACAATAAATCAAAGTAATATCTTGTAATATATTGTATCCTGTGTTTCGAGCTGTTAAAAAGGAAACAAGATACAAAAGATTCAGAATGACTTAGCTACAGTATTAAGCTTTAAACTATTTTAGACTCTCAAAGGGTATTTGAATTGTCACATTTCATTTCATTCTAAATATTTTATGCTGTTATTTGTTGTTTGTACACCAGAGTTTTATGTGAAAGCTGAAAATTGAAATTTATTTTGTAATACAGCTGAAGATTTCAAGTCTTTGCAGTAACAGTGAAACCAGTACAGTCATGTCCACATAACTCCTAGATTAAGTATTTATTTCAGTGCACAGATTGTTTACAGTGAACATCCATATCTGTTGCATAACAGTTAACATTTTGAACAGCCAACAAACAAAGTTAGATCAACGTTTAGTACAAATCTAGTCTCTCACACAAGGCCAAATCCTGTTTGGCAAGAGCAAATACAGGCCTAAATATCACTTTGAAAAGATTAATAATGCTTGTAATGCCCTGGGATGCGCAACATCTCAAAGCAGGTGGAGGCTGTGGGGTATCTGCCCATGACTACCTCTACGGAGGGGCTCGTAGGGAGAATCTCCCACCCGGTCCAGAATTTGACCAGATTGGTCAATTCAGTTGTTGCTATGGAGGAGATGAAAAAACAATGAAACAAATCAAATGACCCAAAAAATCTAATTTGACTTTACTATCATCAGGATAAATAGCAGAGTCTGGCACTAACAGCTTACACTCAATAGAAGAGAAGACTAACCCGCAATGTGAAGTTAACGTTGAACATTTAGTAGCAGCCAAGTAGCCAAATTATATTTTAATAGCACTTTCAAATGTATTTTGTAAACCTACCATTCACAATGAACTGTCGAAGATAGCCTGTCATGCGGCATCTGGTGTCACAGCATCATTAACCTAATTCAAAACTAGAAGAAAATGCGTAGTTCATGTCCTATGCAGTCTGTTAATGTACAAATGTTAGCTGTCTATTACTGAACCTTACAGACACAAACCACACTGATGGCTTAGTTAAACACTCACCGAAGCTCCATTGTTAACGGACATGGCTAAAATCCTATCATCATGCTAGCCGACAGCCGAAGTTGTGTTGGGGCGCTCGCTCCTTTTGCTTTATTATTATTATTATTTGCGGTTGAATTATTTGCAGTTGAATATTTCACGTTGAAAAACATTCAGATACATGATTTCAATGCATAAATATTCAGTGCTAGCAATTCAATCACCTTTTTCTTTCAAAATCCGATGACACAGATGTCACAGGCCGGCTCATAGCCTGTGGCAAGAATGAGGGGACACAAACACCAAGTATAGGCCAATCAAAAGAAGAGTTTATTATAAATCAAAAACTAGTAACTTTAAACAAAGAAAAGGAATGAGGTGTGCGAATGTCATAGTGTAAGGTGTATGTAAGGTGCATGGTTGAGTGAATCTGTATGTGTAAACATGACTGAGTGTGAACAACGTAAAACCTTCAAAGGAACAAACAAAACAGGATCATACCTGGAGGAGCAGAGAGCAAGAGAGGAGTGGTTAGAGGCCTTCTTATACCTAGAGCCCAGGTGGCTCCAATCGCTAAAGACCCTCCTCTGCCTGCAGGAGGAACCGCCCCTGCAAGGCCGAGGAGGAGCCGTGACACAGATTTACTTCCATAATGATGACATAGGTAGTACATGAGTGTTCCTTTAACTTATGTTGTCAGTGTAATTGACAGGCTTCTTAACTGGTTAACTCTTAAATTCAACATATTTTTTCAGGCAGTGAGAGGACAGGCAATGATACAGAGAGCACAGGGAGAGAAACACCAGGTCCAATAGAGAGAGGAGAAGCACAGAGGAGCCATGAACCCCAGAACACGCGTTCTGGGGTTCATGGCTCCTCTGTGCAAGGCAGGACATGACGTGGAGGACAAGGAGGCCCTCTGGGCACTACTGTGAAAAGGAGACTCCGTATGTAGATAGTTCTTAATCTGCAATTGTGTTGTGTTGACATACTTTTTTTTACTGTTTTCTTAAATTTAATAAACTACAAACTACTAACACATGTATTCATTGTCATTGATTGTATATGAATTTTACTGATAACATAATGCAATATAGCCAGGACAGCCTTACAAGAGTTGCTTTGTGTTGCGTTGCTTCGCATCGCGTCGAGGTCTGTATGATCACAACATTCAGAGTTTACCCACCTCTAATTTTACCACTACAGCACTGCCTGCACCTCCCTAGTGTATTGAAGCAGTGTGTGTCTCTTGTCACTTGTTGCGTCATTGTCTATCGTCCTGGATGTCTCTAGTTCCTGCCAGCCTTTTTTCCCCTGGTACCTGTATGCGTTTTTGCCCCTTAGCCATTTTGTGTTTCCTTTTTTTCCCTTTCGCTTTCGACGCATGCGTTTGAGTCCTGCCTTCCACCCACCCTGACAAACATACAGTAATACCATTCAATAGTTTACATTAAACAGCCCTGTAATCACTGTTCCTGTCTGTCTCTGTCTGCTGATGTGAAGACACATGCAGCGGCTGGTTGTAACAAAATGTCAACTGTTTGGAGACCCTTCACTTAATAAGGCTCAACTATTTGCTTTTAACCTACAATTGACGTTCAACGTAGATAATTCAACCATTTGCCAGCTCCGTTGACTGGAGGAGGATTTGTTGTCATTTTAAATGAATGTTTTTACTCTGCTATAGAGTAATGGAGTAATTTCAATGGAACACTGGAACCCACTTGTAATTTCCACAGAACACTGGGACCCTCTTGTAATTTCCACCTAATGGTTGCTTTTGGTTTCATTACATTACAAGTCATTTAGCCAAAGCGACTTACATTACACTTTAAACCCATCGCTTTATACATTTTGCCCGGGAAGCAACTAGGGGTTAGGCGTCTTGCTCAGGGACACTTCGACTTGAGACATGGGGCAGCCGGGACTCAAACCACCAACCTTGCGGTTCCCAGCACACCCGCTCTACCCCCTGCGCCACGACGACCCAAAAAGAAATTCTCGTATCAGGCAGTTATTGGGACTTATGAGAGAGCTCCCCCTAGAACAACATAATGTAATGTTCCACTTACAACTTGGAGATAGGGTTAAGTGATTTTATAAACGTTGCCTATTAAAGTACTTCCAACATGGACCCAAGCACTTATATCCGGTGAACATGTGGACTTTCCCGCTTCTCTGAACCCCTAACTAACCCGTACTTACAACACATAATGGTGTACAACCTACGCTCCTCCTCTGCTCTACCAATCCAGGGACACACCTCAAATAACTTGTACAGTTCCTAAACTAACCCACTACTACAAATTTACTTTACCCCAAGGAACAACCTGAGTACCAACATGACACCCTCCCCACAGACCTTTCCACACTTCTGAAACAAACTGTTGTGGCAGTTTTTTTGTAGATCAGGGGGGACTACAGTCACTTCCTGTGAGAACAGGGCACGTTCTTTCTGTCTCTGGAGGCCTTACTACTAATTATTTTCTTGGAATTGAGAGGGAAGCTGCTTCTGCCTCCAAGTCCGGGGTGAGTCGCTGGTGTTGCTTCTGGCGGCCAGCCTCTGCTTGGGGTCCCCTCAGTCCCATAAAGTGAGCAAGGCTCATTGTCGAAAGGTAAGGAGTCAATCCCCACGTCCTGCATGCACTCATGTACTGCCGCTATCCACACGTAATAATAAATAATACATTTTATTTATTATGCACTCAAGACAGTTGGGTGTGTGTGTGAGAAAGTCAATGTCTTTAAGAAGAGTAACTTGTTTTGCTGCTATTCAACCAAAGAATCCGTGTCTTTATTGAGCCCAGTACTCATAGGCGGGGGAGAAAGTGAGCAATCTTTACCACTTCTAGTTACTCTACTTAGCAGCAGAAGGAGCCCTTTGGAGAGCTTAGATCTAACATTAATGCTACTACTATTGGACAGGAATTAATATCAGCGTTGTAATTGTTTTATAAAACACCTCTCCAACCAGGACATTAGTTTGGGCGCCATATATGGAGGACAAAAAACGTATGAATAAGTACATCTATATATAAATTAAATACATAAATGTAATAATAAGTATAATAAGGCAACGAAATGCAATTTAACATCCAACCAGAAGTTTAACATCCAACCAGAAGTGCAAAATAGCAAAAAGTGCAGAGTATGTGCCTATGTAAATTAAGAAATAGTTATGCAATATGAACAGTAAGAAATGCAATAACAGTGCAAATGTTCAGTGGCTGGAGTAGGGTGTGTGGCAGTCAAGCTAGGGTGGAGGGGGGTAAGTACAGTCACAGAGGGAGATGTGTGGGGGTGGGGGGCAGAGTTCAGTAGAGTGACAGCCGCAGGGATGAAGCAGAGCACCCTGTAGCGCCCCCCAGAGGGGAGGAGGGCAAACAGTTCAGTCTCCTCAGGAAGAAGAGACGCTGGTGTGCTTTCTTTACCAGGGATGAGGTGTTGAAGGTCCAAGAGAGTTCCTCAGAGATGTGGACACCCAGGAACTTGAAGCTGGCGACACGCTCAACCTCCGTCCCGTTGATATGGATGGGGATGTGTGTGCCAGTTTTCTTCCTGAAGTCCACAATTAGCTCTTTGGTCTTCTTGGTGTTAAGAGCCAGGTTGTTGTCGGGGCACTATACCGCCAGGTGCTGGACCTCCTCTCTGTAGGCAGACTCATTGTTGTCACTGATGAGGCCAATCACCGTGGTGTTGTCTGCAAACTTGACAATGGTATTAGAACCGTGTACAGGTGTGCAGTCGTAGGAGAAGAGGGAGTAGAGGAGAGGACTTAACACACAGCCCTGTGGCACGCCGGTGTTCAGGATGAGGGTTGAGGAGGTGTGGTTCTCTACCCTAAAAGACTGGGGTCTGTTGGATAGGAAGTCCAGTATCCAGTTACAGAGGAAAGTGTTGATACCCAGGGTCCAGTTTTTCAAAAGTAATCCACTAGGATTTTGGATAACTGATTGATCAAATCTTGAAAACGGATTCTTCAAAAGAAAAAACAGATTACATAATCGGATAAGATCACGCTAATCCAATCTTGGTTTTGATCCGGATAAAATCTTTTAGTTTGGGTTTTTTGTAGGATTTGGATCTTTTTGATCCAAAAAATCTGGATTAAACTGATCCAGTAAGGGTGTATTCAGCGTGGATTTCATGCCCAAAATGTAATGAAAACTTAAAAAATGTATCAAATAATACTATAAGATATCCTATTTATTCATCCATCCATCCATTGTTAAACCGCTTATCCTGCACACAGGGTCGCGGGGGTGCTGGAGTCCATCCCAGCCAACTTTGGGCGACCGTGCCGCCCCTATTTATTCATAAGGTTTTAATTTTATTCGTTTATCCGTCAGGCAACAGTGATTAGGTAGGCTTTAACGTATTCAGCCTTTCAGTATCGGCCTACAGCAAAGTAGAAATAGTTTGGCCTCATAAAATAATCCCCCAAACAGCTGTCAAAATTGACCATAAACAATACATTTTATTCTGTCACTAATTGATATATATATTTATCACAATCGAAAATATTCGTTTTTAGAATATTTATTAGTGATGCATGCAATGATTACAGAATAACCAAAAAAAATGCAAAGCATGGCAATCATTGATTTTTGAAATCCAAAACAAATCCAAATCAGAAAGTGTCTAACTATTGCGTCCCTTGTTGCGCGTCCTGTTTGCTCGTTCTGGCAGAATGCAGGAGGTTGGTTAGGGTCTCCAAGGGGCTCAGGTGCATCATTGTCAGCACAGAGAGGGACATTGCGCTTAGTAGCGATGTTGTGCAGGACAATACAGGCAAGGGTTATGTTGCATGCTTTCTGTGGTTCCGCTCTCAGGTAGTTAAGGCATGCAAAGCGCCCATTTAAACGCTCAATTGCACATCTTGCTCTGCAATGAGCAGTGTTGAAGCATGCCTGCACCGGTGTATTTGCTGTTAGAAAAGGAGTCATCGGCCATGGTAGGAGTGGGTAGGCGCTGTCTCCTAATATTATGCCATCCGGTCGGTTGGTTTGGAGGGCTCTATATAGAGCGCTCTCCCTCAGGATGCGTGCATCATGGACAGACCCAGGCCACTTGACAACGCAGTTGGTGATGATGAGGTCAGCATCACACACAAGTTGGACATTGATGCTGTGCCTCCCCTTTCTGTTTATAA